TAATATACGCGCGCGCTTTTTTTTTTTTTACATTCAACTCTCTTTATTCTCCCTCTGCGCTTATACCTGCCGGAGTAATTATTTTGCCACTAGCAAATGACTCATTAGGAATCGAGCGAGATGAAGCACCGTGCTAAAAAAAATTAGGAGCCTTGTGAATATTGTTAATTGGCTTTCTCAGCAGAGCTGAGAGGGGCACGAATATTTCCCTTTCTTAAATTTTTTTCAATTCTTTCTCATACTGATTATAAAATATTTTAATATAGTATTTTTTTTCAAATACTTTTCTACAATAATACGTTTATAAAACCTAAGGAACAATCATTAGAAAGTGGACACTCACATTAAGATAGAAATAGAGAGGACCAATTTTATTTAACAAATATTAATATCAATTATTTTAAATTTTGGTAAAGTAAATAAAAAAATTCAATTTTAGAAGTCTTTTTATTACATAATAACTTAATTAGTTATAAAAATTAAATAAATAATTAAAATTGATTAAATTAAAAAAAATGATAATACATATAGCAGTTTTAATTTAAAAACAAGTATTGCTTAATTTTTGCATAAAGTTTATCTTAAAATATATATTAAATAAATATTTTTTTCTATTTTTCTATACCTTTTGCTCTCACCTTGTTCTAGACCGACTCTTACTGACTCAAAAATTTTGTATTCTTTGAAAAAAGTTTAATCGAAATTTGTATTGAAATTCGTCTATATTGTATACAAACCTCAAATATTGTAATAAAATGATAGTAATTTATTTTAATGCATTAAATTTTAAAATTTTAAATCTTGCTGTTGGCATGGTTGATGCTTTTAGCCGTCTCAGGAGACAAATTCACAAATTGCGTGTCATATTTTTCAGGAATAGAACATCTAGAAAGGAAAGATTGCTAATGATTACCTCTCAACTTAATATTTCATGCAACTAGAAGTTTGTAATTAACCAATTTATAAAATTACCATTAATTTCACCCTGAGTTTCAGAAAAGGATGCAAATTATGCGGTGTAAAACTTTTGGGACACGTCCTTCCTTTATTTGTATGCAAATGAGCCGAATTTTACGACGGAAAAACGCCGCTTCTTTTTTTGTGCAGACCAAACAAACGCCGAAAAAGTAAAAAGTATTTAAAGCCTCACAAAGGCAAAAATCGGTTTACCGATGCTGCGACTGACTTGTGTGTGAATAAGACCCATAAACATGCACCTGCTCACATATTGACTCTCACTTTAAGGAAAATAAAAAATCATGAGAAATCTCCTAATCCCTTGATTGGGACGTGCGGGAGAAAAACGCCGCAGCAAATATTTGAGTCGTTTTTCAATCGCCGCTCCACAGGGAAAGAAGAAGAAATTTTTCGGCTGCGCACGAGAAAGAAATAGGACCACTCCTATTTGCTGTGATAATACGACTCTGCGCGCGCGGCTTTGTATTTATTGCCATTGTATTATGTTCTTAAAGTCAAGGCAGGGGTATTGTGTGTGCGTGAGAGAGAAAGAGACGCGCATTAGGATCTTCCTTTTAGGTAGAGATGACAATAATAATAATACGCACGGTAATGAAGTAATGCGTCTTGCCTAACTCCCTTTTCGTTCCATCTGCTGATCTCTTCCAAAACATGTTCCCTGGAGATTTCATTTTATTATTAAGCTAAATATGGAGTAAGTTGATGCTTTGTTAGATGTAATTTTCGTTCAGCCCTGAAGTAAGTGAGTAATTTTAGGACTTTTTGTTATTAATTTTTGGTTCATTAACTGTTTTTATTAGGAGAAATTTCTTAGTAAGGCTTTTCCCGAAAATCGGTGACATCGGGGAAATATTTCATTTCAAAGTAGATGAAGCATATTGTGAAAAATCTCTGCAGAAGTAAAATAAGTTGAAATTTAATCAAAAGGTTAACAAATGCGATTTTTTATGAAAATTTTAAGGGTTTTCAAGTGATTTCATGATTTCTGATATTTACAAAATTCAGGAATTCAACATGGCAATCTATGTCAAAAATATATATATATTTATATTTTCTTCAATTTATAATTTTGTTGGACTGTCATCAACAAAGTATTAAAAAAAAAAAACATTTTCACACAATTGTATTAATCTGTGTTTATTTTTGATTTCTTTTTTTTATATTACTTTCCATTATATATATCATTTAAAAATTTTATTATTTTTTTCCATTTTTTAATTATACCATAAGGAATCTTGAATTACTTTTTGTACAGGTTGAATTTTTGCTGAATTATTTTTACTTAGAAAATGTCGATATATAATTAAGCATCATGAAACATAAGTGATATTCATTTAAAAGAAATTTTAATTTTGTTTTCATGCATTCTTCTTTGCCTTGTTCATTAGATTCTTAACAGTGGAAATTTTGAAACACAAATTCTTGCGTAAATTTAAATATTTGCGTGGAATAAATAGAAAAAAATCATCACAATTTAGCATTTCAGCTATTTTAAAATGGCTAATTAAATTAAATAATAATTATTTCATTAATATTGTCGGCCCTGAATGGTTTTATTTTTGCTATTTACAAAAATTCATTATACTTTTCTGCCCTTAAATCGTTGTAAATTCTAAATATTTTCTTTAACACAATCATAAATTTTTTAATCTGACTCAGGAGGAGTTACAAATAAAACTGCAATTTGTTCCACTTAATTTTTACTATATTAAATTGCAAATATTTTAAACCACATGTCCTTTTTCCACGTATTATGGGCCTGATTATTTTTCACTCTTTCCTAACAAATTAGCCATGTTGCTCGACTATTGAATTTTATGACCACTCTCGAGTCCGGGGGACCAATTTACAAAAATTTTCTCTAATAAAATGTCTTGCGTTTCCAAGAACGCGAGCTCTCGAGATCCGCCTTCCTTATAATATTTCGACCCGTCGCACGCGGTAAACACTCATAGGCACTCGGATATTTGGATTTAGAGACTTACATCAGACAGAGTTTTCGAGTTCAAAGCGAGACGCGGGCCAAATAAAACGAGCAGCGCACCTAAACCGGCGTAATATTAACTGCTGGCCTCAAAGAGTGCCAGATGCCGTTTTGCCGCCGCTTTTACGCCAGAAAACAGCACCGTGTTTTCCTCAAAGCGCCGAGCGCGGTTATTAAAATAATATTTTAGAATTCCGAAATAAGGTACGCGCGTTGCTTGCCTGGGCGCTGATAAAAAGGCACTTTCCAAAGTTATACCACCGTAGTATGTATAAAAGCTGCAATTAAATTTAATATTCGGATAAAAGGTCTCCCATGATCCAAATTTATAAAAATGTAAATATGAGAGAGCCCACAGAAAATATAAATTACAACAAATTATTGCAATAATTATACAACGATTGTTTCCTTTCAAAAAAAGTGCCAAAAAAAAAACAATTAATAATTGTACCATAATTTTGATATAATTGATCAATCAATTATTAGGAGCCAAGAATTAAAAAATTTTATCATTAAATTATACTTTAAAATTACAGCAGCACTTTTAAAGTTAATAATTACTCGACCTAAAAGAAAGGACAAAATCAATGCAACTCAATGAGGTTCTTGCCATCAGCGGTGAATAGCTAGCTTATCACAAAAGCAACTTACTATTATTAAAATTTTATTCTTTTAATAAAATTTGGTCAAAAATCGGTTCCTTGATACTCGATTTTTTTCCAAATAAAATGCATAATTATATGCCTAAAAGTCAAGTTTAAATCCAGATTGTGCATTTTCCTACAAAAGATTCAGATTGAAATAAATAAATTTCATAAATTTTTTCCCAATAAGTGTCTTAAAAAACATGCCATATTCATAATCTGAAAATTAAATTATCAAGAATTGAAAAGTGGCAAATTTGACCAATTTTCTTCTCTCTGGCAAGCCAGTAAAACAATCTGTCTTTTAGAGATTCCGAATGTCCACTCCACTCTTTTATTTATTATACTTTAAATACATTAAAAATTATGATAATTACAAATTTAAGTATTTTTCACTAGAAAAATTAGCACAGCGCTTATTGATAAGAATTAATTTAACTGTTGCTGGCAAATTGTTTATTAAATTTGAGTTTGTTTTAAAAATCAGAACAAAGGTCGTTGCACCTACCCCATTATTTTGTCCTCCCTGTTGGGTGCAGTATTTTGTAAGAGGCAGACTCCATCAGGCTTTACTCAAAATGAATTAGTGATGAGTTGAGCTATTATGCCTCTATTTACCGTCCCGGGACGGACGCAACAACAACAGCAGAGATTAGCTTTCAACTATAACATTATAAACCTTACGTACGCGCTGCTCTCGCCGCGCGCACAAACACACTCCGGCGCTCAATTATTTACAAACCGAGCTCTGGAAACAACAACACAACTAACTGAGAGAGCAGCACAATGGAAAAAGTATAGTTGCAAAAAAATAAAAATAAAAATCCTCTCTTGGAAATTGAATACGAAAACTGCGCACAAAAGCAGGCAGAGTCGCATTAACCATTTAAGAGTCTGCAAAGCTGTTATTAATTTAAATTACAAAACAAAATGATTTCGTCACACCGAAGTGTCAAATAAATAATTTAATAATTTAGAGCTTCGTAGGACAGGAGAATTAATTTACTTTCATGAAATTTAGAAAGTTGACTTTTAAACCCTTTCGATATATTTTATTCATGAATGAGCAAAAAAGTGTCCATTGAAAGCTCACACCCACCTCCATAAATTCCTTTCAAAAAATGTTATATGGCATTTCTCGAATGGATGTGAGAATGAATGAGAGACACCAGTTTTGTGTAACTTCGGTTTATCTCCATTTTTACTTCTTGCGTTTCTTTCTCTCCAAAGAGAGTCAATAAACATTACTTACAAAATAAGTAACGGGACTTACTTTTAGACAGCTTAAAAATTTTACCACACCCTCTATTTATGATAGGAAAATTTAAAAAATTAATCACAGTTTATTTTTACTTGAAAAATTAAATTTTGGTGATATATTTTTGTTCTTGCAGGTACCTTGGCGTTTCAGGCGTGTCGCCGTCGTCGTACCTGTATCAGCAGCACCCGACTGTGGGCCCGCACAGTGCAGAGCCCGAAGACCCAATGGGTCCGACGGCTGAGGCGCGGGCCCTTTGTTCCTCCCTGCCGGGAATTTCGTCGCAGCAGGTCGAGGTCTGTCTTCAGCAGCCGGCCGTGATGCAGGCCGTGGCCTCGGGGGCGGCCAGGGGCATCGACGAGTGCCAGCACCAGTTCCGCAACGAGCGGTGGAACTGCTCGACGCAGAACGACGAGAACAATTTGTTCGGATCGACGCTTGAAAGAGGTAAAGATGGCCTTATTATTATTATTTTTAATTATTAAAAGGTTGATGAGGATGACACTTACTGTCAGAACATGATGATTACTAGATACATGACCACAGAGATATCATAGCTCGAATTATAATAATATAAATATTTTAAAAACGATAAATAATTTTGGTTGGAATAGTATTATTATTTGATTAAAAATTGTTGACTTTTTATATTACACTTTAAAAAAAATCATCAATAATTTTGCATAGAATTGATGCATAAAATTGGTAAACATTAATTTTAATTAGAATAAAAGAAATTTGATAACAGTTATTTAGAGTAAAATAAAAAAAAAATAAATTCAAGTCAATATTAATTTATATAATGTTATATTATAAATTGACAAAATAGCAAATTTTATTTTTAAAAGCATTGGCAATAAGACCTTTTACTTTGTTACAAATATTTCAACTTTATTTTAATAATTGCTTTTTAAATTTTTTAGAGGGCAGAGATTGTTTTTTCGAAATTGATGCACCTATATGAAACAACCCAATTTTAATTATTTTCTTTAAAATGTTATTGTATTTTTTGCTTTGTTGTATTACAAGTCAAAATATTGTGGTCTGATGAGGACTTAGAAAACCACGCAGATACGCTTTGAAGCGATGAGCGCACAATGTGCTCCGCACGTCTCCATCAATCACCCTCCCGAGCAGAAAATTCTCGGTCTCTTTTTTTTTTACCGCCGCTCTTTCGGGCACGTGCAGCATCTCGAATTTAAATTTTAAATCAGCTGCTCCTGCTCCACGCTGAAAAGGATAATTTCTTTTCGCACCCGGAACTCCTGCTGCGTTTTTGCTCCTTCTTTTAAAACTATGAAGCGACACTTTTATAATATTGAAAGTACATTAATAAAATCCGATGAGCTCTTTTATATACTGATTGAGAGCGAGTCGAAAAGCTAGAGCAGCTCCTCCATTTGTCATTCTCTTTGCGTGTAGAAAAGCAGCGGCCGCCAGAAAAAGAGTGGAACACAAAAGCAAATATTTCAGCGTTTCATTCGTTTGGGGTGTCACTTTAGTGGAACGAAAAAGGCTGTGGGAAAGCTGTTTTTGTGCGTGGAATGCGGTAGTTAATAAAAGTTGAAAGGTTAGAGGAGACTTTTTCTGCGACAAAAACAAATATTTGTTACTATTTCCATGGCCCACGATAAATTATTCAAGTTGGCTTTAAAAGTCCTTTTTTCACTTGCTGAAAGCGAAACTGCGAAAGAGTTTCCAATTTAAGGAAAAATGTGGTCAATTTATTGTTAATTTCAATTTTTTAATTAATGCATTGAAAATGATTTGCTCCGCCAGGGAGCAGTTCAGGAAATGAAATAAAACTATAGGCGAAAATTCTACATTTTTAGCAATTTTTGCTGGGTTTGATACAAGTTTGAGGTCAATTTTGACTGTAAAATTATATATTTTAAAGTTCTAAGACGCTACTTTATTTCCAATTATAGGTCAAAAACATGTGATTCGAAAACTAGAAATTAAGAAAAAAAAATCTCGTACGGTCTGATCAAACCACGGGTTCATTCAACGACTCAACTGCTTTTCCTTACATCAAATGAATTTGAAGTTTTATGGAAGTTGTTCCTGTTTGCAAGAAATGGGCTGAAACAGCAAAATATTTTGTACATTTGATATTTCATTCTAGAATCTAATGCTTTTAATGGGATAAGATGAGCTCCAGAATTTAAAATGTTAAAATAATTTGGCAGGCATTTTTATTTAATTTAAACTGACATTTTTGCATTATCAAACTAACCATTTTTTGAGAATCTCAAATTATCATATCAGCTTTTGAATATGAAGGTAATTTTTTTCTCCTTTTGTAGCTTCCTTCAATCTTAAGACAAATTGAACCTGCAAAGACCCTGAAGTATAATGCAAAACGAAAAAGGAAATCATGCATAAATTTCACGCGTTATCAAAATTTCCTGATCTAGGTCATAAATATGATAATTCGAGAGCACTGTATGTAATCTCTGACAACGACCAGCATAAGCTACAAACAGCAGCAACTCATAATTATGTAACACACACACACATCCCCCCTGGTGATATATGTATATGTTACAGGGCGGGATACATTTTACAGGATTAGGCGCAAATCCCGCTCTCTCGCATTTATAAAAACCACTCTTTAACTTTATAGAGCTTGTAGAATTGGAGTTGAACAGGAAAAAATACGGCATTGCGATGTATATTTGTCCGGTTGTGGCGGATTAAAATAACATAATAGGGCGCGAATTAACACCTCGCATTTTATTGGCCGCACGATGACTTAATAGCCTTTATCTGGCTGCGTGTAATAATTATAATAACCAGTTTATTTTCACTGATACCTGCGCGAGATAAAGCACGCAGACCATCAGGGCCGTTTACTTTGCGGCGAGGTAAAGTACGTTGCCGATTTGCTAATGAGAGGAATTCCATGAGCGAAGGAACGCGCGGAATCTAGCTGCGCCGTTCATTATGCCAAATTTGGTGCCCGCCAAGCAGATTATTTTTCATATCTGAATATACACTAAGGAAATTTAATGAGGCGGAAATATTATGTATTAAATTTTCGGCTCTGATTGATTGAATTGTAAAATGAAACATCGTGCCCTGCGCGATTTTATCTGCTTAAAGGTGTGCATAAATTTCGCGGGGTGACGTAATCGATCAAGCAGCATCACGCAACCGGTTGAAAAACGCCAATTGATCCTACCTATCTGTTAATGAGATGGAATTGATCTTGGAACAGAAACAGACTAGTGTGTCTGCTCGTCTATATCGCAGGGTGTGTTTTTCAAACAAACAAATCGATTGGATAGATTACATTTTTAAAGTGTCTTTGATTCATGGTTTTTATTTATCTATAATAATAATATAATAATGTGACCAATATTAAAAAGATGAATATTATTAAAATTTATTAATTAACAAAGTTTTGTGCTATTATTTTTAATAATTTTGGTTAAAAAAAATTAATACATAATTAAAAACAATATACTTCATAAATTTAAAAATTCCTCCAGTCTGCATGAAATTTCTTTCAATTCTGAAAATTTTATTTAATCGTTTTGTAAAAGTTTAATTTTTTCAATTATTATCATTCGCCCTGTAGTAAAAATTTTAGAATATAGGTAGTAGCTAAAGCTAGTTGGTAGAAACATATTTGAAACTTAAATGCTCCTTGAATTTCGTTATTTTACACCATAATTGATAAAATAAATAATAATCTCAAGGTGCATGGAAATCAATCTGTAGGTCCGAACTTTTAGAAAACTTCTTCAACATGAACAATCAAATAAAATTTTAGCTGTGATGCGAACATTCCGATTTAAGTTTTAAAATTCCTTCTTTACCATTTTTAATACTCTAAATGACATATTTTCAACAATGGTGGTTAAAATTTCCTATTTTTCCAATAATTGCCAAAACGTTTTGCTAGACTGTTGTAAAGACTTGATTAGGCTATGCCAATAAGGAGTCCTTAAAAGTCATACAAAAGTTTTTATTACAACCAAATTTATCCCTTCACTTCTTCTTCTGCTGATTAAGGTTTGACAAAGCGGAACTGAAGATGGAAAATTTATTCAAGAAATTAATAAGGATTTTAAAAAAGGTAGTATTTTTTATTTTAAAGGAGACTCGTGAACGTTGAATAGGGTGTGTGCCGAGATGTAATCCTTTTAAGCAAATTTTATCAGACACGTCGCTAGCGATTATATTATGCTGGAATAGACAAATCCAGTCAAGTAGCTGCGAGTAACAAAAGAGATATGCTTATATATTGTCCGTGGGAACTAGACAGGTATAAGAATGCGGCACTAACTAAACTCGCACTAAAAGCGGCTAAAAGGTTAAAGGGAGAGAAATTTTATCGGAATAAGCCGCCGCACATATCAGTCGGCGCATTAGGAGACACGCGTGTTTTTTTTCTTCTATTTCTCTGATTGTTTGAAAAGTTGATGTTTTGGGCGAGAAAGAAATGAAAAGGATGCTGCGATTGAAAAAAGAAGAAGAAAAGGAATTCGTGCTTGGTATGAAAGACTCGGCTCTGAATAAACGCTGCTCAATCAGAACGCATGCACACCGACTTAACCGCGACAAATGCGATTCGTTCGGGTCCGGCCATTAGTTTCGCAACAATGCCTCTTCTTTTAGAATTCGACTCTCGCGCTCTCGCCTAGCACCAAGTTTTTCACTTCCAATATACGAGGGAAGCCATCTTGCAATATACAATTTCTCTCCGCGGCGTGCATAATTCTTCTTGTGTATATGATGCGTCGTCATACTCTTTGCTCTTTTTGTGCATTATCATTATTATGGATTCGTGTGTGCGCCGAGGGGAGGTTCTCAATAACTCTCTAAAAACAGCAGAGTTTTGCTCGAACCGACGCTGCGACGACAGAGAGCGGAAATAAGTCGAATGGATTAAAAATGGTAAAATGGATTAGAAAAATGGGGTTAAAAATGCACAAATCTCAAGCGTAGAGTTTCAAACACCACTTTTAGCTTTAACTAAAAATAGCAGACTTGTTTTATCAAAATTATAAACATTTCATGTGACAAAAATGATGAAAATTTAGCAACAACTTGCCGGTATTTGAAATTTTTTTCTTCACTGTAACCAGAATTTTAAAATTGGATAAATTTTATAAATCAAAATGGAAAAAAGTAAAATCCATCTTCTTTCTATTGCAACAAATAACTGTTATAAAAATTTAAACATTGAAAGGTATCCATTTTTAGGAAGGAAACATAGAATTGATGAATTGCTGGAAAAAAAGGCGCACCACCTCTCTAGCCAAGATTCTGCTAAATTTGATTTTATTTGCTAAATAAATTGCCGAGATAAAAAAGATCCACATCCACCGCAGTGAACCTTTTATTCTCTCTGTAAAAATTTTTAATCCAAAATTTCAATTTTGTCACATTTTTATCTAGTTTGTCTAGTTTTCTTAATATTTTATGGAATTGATGCT